GCCCCCCCTCCCCTCAAAAACTCATATCGTAAGACCAACACATTTTCAGAGGATGGTATGATAGTAAACATAAATTATGAGAACACTGTTTATGTCATTATGTTTGCGTATTATGACGTCATGTAATATAATTGGTCAAAATAACGCCATGGAAATTTAAGCTTTTGTCATCTTTAATCATCAATTAAAAAGTTTTATTTTCAATATGAAGCCTAAATATACATTAATAATTGACTTAAGACAGACATATGGACATTCAAAAAAATCTAACTAGTGATGAAATTTCAAGGAAAATTACCTGTTATATACCTGATATTATGATATGGTTCCGCCATTTGAGATTTTGACCAATGGCGTCATCGACATAGCAGAAAGTCTGTATTTTCAATGATGGAACCTACTTAAAATTTTATTGAATGTTATTGATAAAGTTGGCGCGGACACTTTTAACCCCCGCCCCGGTCTAGATAGGGTGAAGATATGGACTAACCTATCTAGACGGTTGTGGCAAAAAATCACATTATGGCGTCATAATTACGTCATAACGACATAAACATCGTTCTTACATTTTTTTTTCATTCACTAGCACTGCATTCTCTGAAAATTTGGTGGCCATACGATATACCGTCCAAGAGTTGTGAGGGGTTTGAAATGGTACCCGGTCTAAAAATCCCCCGAGAGCTCTGTCTAGATATGCATGGCGTCATTTATGACGTCACTTGTGTTACTTTGAGCAACATTCGTTTTAGTAGACCTTAATATCATCTTATAAACCTTTTTTTATAAACTTGTTGTATACTATTACGTTGTACGAGAATAACCAATCTAGATGGTTTTAGCCAATAAAATTACATGAATGACATCATAAACATAGTCTTAATTAATTCTTACTAGTGCACCATCCTTTAAAACGATATACAGTTGACAACTGCTGAGGGTTTGCCGACTCTTGGGGGGATTAAATTAAAGTTAGCATCAATAAACTTATGTCTAATCATTGCACATTTGCATAATTTACAAATAATTCAATTGCCTTTGTTAAGATACAGGTTTCGTTGATTAAAGAATGTGTTCAAATTGATAAAATTGATAAAATTACTGATAAAATTATGTTTTATAATCAATGAGAAAAATATATGGAAAAAAAAATACCACCCATGAGAGCCTTCATGGACGATGTCACGAGCATTCTACGAACGGCACCCTGTACTAAATGGTTGCTTCAAGGACTCGAGGAGTTTACTGAATGGGCTGGGATGAAATTCACTAAGGAAAGGAAAGATCAGTAACAGAATCTTCACAGTCAATAACCAAAACACCCCGACCTTACAGGAACAACCAATTAAGATTTTGGGACGATTGTACACGAGCAGCCTGAAAGACAGCGAGAGAGTACCAGAAACGTTGGAGCAAGCCGTTAGAGGCCTTTAATGTGTTCATGCTGTTCCCAAGATTGAAGTGGCCCCTAAAAACCTACGGAATATCCTTGTTAGTTGTGGACCAAATCGATAGGAATGTCAATGCCTACTTCCGCCGAGGAGTGGGCGTACCTAGATGTCTGTCAACCGTGGCACTGTTTGGCGACATAATGTTAAGTCAGCCACTGCCGTCCATTGTAGGGGAGCACAAGTCCGGCTTGTCCTCGAACTGGAAGGGTCACGACACTTGTCAGTCAGAGCGGTTAACAATAGCATCTGCACTGGGAGGAACTGGAAAGCTAAAGATGTCATTAGCCAAGCTGTCAACAGATTACATCACAAGGACCTAGTGGGTGCAGTACAAGTGGGAGAACAGGACTAGGCTGAGGAGAGGTAACATACAGGTGGTCAATTGCAAACACCAGAAAGAATAGACAACATGTGACCCAAGAAGTTAGGAGGATGGAGGATTTATATATATATATATATATATATATATATATATATATATATATATATATATATATATATAGTAGTAGTAGTAGTAGAGTAGAGAGAGAGAGAGAGAGAGAGAGAGAGAGAGAGAGAGAGAGAGAGAGAGAGAGAGAGAGAGAGAGAGAGAGAGAGAGAGAGAGAGAGAGAGAGAGAGAGAGAGAGAGAGAGAGAGGGGGGGGGGAGAAGTAAAATAGTAAAAGCATTGAGACCCCATAGCTGTTTAGGCGTGTGGCGTATGTATGTTTACTATTTTTTCATGAACTACATCTCTCAACACCAAAAGTGTATGAACAGTCGCAAATCACATACCAACGGTCCAGACACTATGATCAGGCTGTCTGTTCAGGTGACAACACCTCCCAAAGAAATGAAAGAAAAAAAACGGATTTGCTGTCTTCATTTTATACAAAAGGAAGGGCAATAGACACTAAAGGTGGTAGTACACAGAGAGGGTGGTACAATCAGGCCTTACAGTGATCTTTATTTCATGGCCAACACATAGACTATGGGGATAGAATTCTGGATAAAGAAAAGGGTTATCATCAGACGTGTAGGCTGACTACTCTAACGTTATAATGTACAGGTACAGGTGCTTTCACAAGGATGATAATGTACAATATAAGGTCTTTTCTGCGCGCACAGGTGTATCATCGACCGCGACCTAGCTGTGACACAATTATGTTTCCATATCCCTCATCATAACTTTGTACATACTTTTCTATATGTTGGTAGAACACATTTGCATGATTACTGTCATATCTACGACCCATCTTGCTTGAGCTATCCAATAATGTTTTCATAATCCTTATCATAACTTTCTTTATACTTTTCTATATGTTGTTAGAACACCTTTTCACTGTTACTGTCATATAGTTGGACCTTTTTCTTCACTTTACAACCTGACATCATATTTACTTTTTATATACAAATACATTTCTCTAAGCTAACCACTAGAGCATCTTGAACAAGTGGCATGTCCTAATACTAATATTATGTATATTCACATAGATGTAGTTAAGATATACTTTCTATACACTGTAGTTTGATATACACAATAAGATAAAGTGCCACTATCAACACAAAAATATATCATTTACAATTCCATAACGTTGACTGGTATTTTCTAGTGCATCGTAGATTCATACAGAAAGTTCACAGATAGAAATATATACTGTGTTTCTTTTGACATACATATATTACATAGACCTACTCTCCTAAAAGTTACATTAGGAATGTTATTCCACCATCACATATTAGGTTTGCTACTTACACTATCACTAACACTAATACTAACAAACACACCAACACTTGGACAATAGGAGTTGCACGGTGCACAACTATGTATAACCAAAAAACTTTGATACAAAACATTGTATCAGGTTCTGCAGCCAATGAAATTATAACCACCACGTATTTCACAATAACAAAGAAAGTATGATAATACAGTAATTATTTTTTCAGTACCCACTGTGATATGTATACGCTTATGATAAGGGTGGGAACCTAAAAACAGAGCGAATGCCAAGACGGAATGTCTATCTCTATTTTGCCAGATATGTACATGGTAGTGTACATTAATGTTACGAGCTTGGAATGTTATGAGCCTGACTAAATCGCTAACCGTCCCCTAGAATGCGGGGAGCACTAGCCCTAGTCTCAGTCAGACTCCTTTGCATGCTGAATAATTAGTAGAAATCAGCCAAAAAAGGAGATATAATTGGTCAGGGGAGTTAGCCGACCAGAGAGGGTCAATTTGTCTGACAACTCTTCTGGCCAATTGCATCCCCTTTTTAGGCCGATTTCTACTATTTATTCAGCCTTCAAAGGAGTCTGGTGGAGACTAGATTAGCCCCTTGGCAGTGAGAGATTGTGTAGCATAAGCTAAAATATTTCCTACTTGGCACATAGGAAGTGAGTTCGTAAGGTTTACATAACGAGTATGCTGCAGGGTTCTTGGCAGAAGATCACACATTTGACTCCATTTTTGAGACAGTGCTGCCTTTCCTGACTAGTGCTGTAGGGCAGTTGGCAACAGATTACTCTCCAAGCAGATCTTTCGGTGGCCGCAAAAAACAGTATCAAATTGGCCACGCAGTATCCACTGGCCACCCTTCGGTGGCTAATGGACACTCCTCTGACCAATGGATACTGCCTTGCCACCATATGATCTGCTTGTAGCACGCTGCAGGGCAGTTGGCATAAGATCACAGAGTTGACTCCATTTCTGAGGCAGTGCTGGTTTTTCTGACTAGAGCCTCATGCTCCGAGCACTTGTCCTGGTCTTCAATCGGCGGGGAGGAAGCCTCGTCGCTGAAAAAGGTCGAATGGAGAGGTGAAATTGTGTGAGTTTGTTAATGCCATTCTGTATCGTATGTGATTTCATAATATTGTATAGTCTGTTAAACAGACTAATATATAATACAAAACAGGCAACCGTTTTCCATCAGTAACATTGCATTTTTGCCTCAAAGGTATCAGAATGCTATGGGATGGGTTTGATTCAACTTACTACACAGAAAGAATGATGAACAGAACAGAAGATCGACTTGAAAATCCATTTTTGATGCCATGAAATGGAAACTATAGGAATCCCCATAGGGCGTAAACTGTGCTCTGCTACCTGAAAACAGGCCGCCTCTGTAGAGCGATGTCCGGAACTCGCAGGCAGTCCTCCTTGACGGGGTGCAGCCTGCCGTTTGCCGGAGACCCGTTCCGGGGTAGGCTGCTCATACTGGGGCTGGGGGGAGTGCCGTTACGGATGGAGTTCACACTGGGACTGGGAGACAAACAAGAAGTTGTTAGTATGAAAGCTCATCTGTGTTGGTAGAATACATAGTTAAAGAGTTTGACTTGTTCCAACACAATAAGGAGTGTTATGGTGAGTTCTCCTTATTGTGTTGGAACAAGTCAAACTCTTTAACTAAGAAGTTGTTAGCCTTACCAGACTTCTTTGCAGGCTGACTAAAGAAATAATCGTTCTCGTCGCCGGCTAACTCTGGGTCTAGAGTGCTATTGGTCTGGCATCCATGCTACATAACAATACTGTTTAGAGTTTATATTTTTGATCCAACACAAAGAACGACAGGGGCCGACATCGTCTACCAGATACCTTCGAACCAGTGTTAACGTCACACTTCAAAGAAGTCACGTGACAAGCCTCACTGGGTCAGTCTACTGAGGAAGACCAGAGTGACTGGTCAAAAGCTCTAGGTGAGAGAACTTTTTTTTAATCAAAAGTCTTAACTCTAAATGCATATGTAACTACAAAATGTACCAACACAGATTAACTTTCCTGATTACATAACAATACTCCCGCAACCGGGAGTAACCAAGATAGCAGCGTTCTTTAATACCTATGACTATAGTCCATGCTTGTGACGGCCGTGAAGCTGAGAGGAGCCCTGCTCGCGTTGCCGCCTCTGGAGTTGATGTTCCTGGCCAGCTTCCAGCGTTCCCATCTCCTCTTGAACTCGGAACGGACCTGAACACAAGCGACAATTTCACAAGCGGTTGAGAAAGTACTCTCGAAACAGAGGCATGGGCTTTGGTGTATTATTTTTTTAGCGTGTTTTAGGCCTTCTTTTCCACCAAAAGACTATCAGTAGGAAAAAGAGAGTTTCCAGCGCTCCCATCTCCTCTTGAACTCTGCTCGGACCTGAACACAAGCGACAATTCCACACACTGGTGAGAACGTTCTCTCAAAATATAGCTTTGAGCTTTGGCTTGTATTTGGCGTGTTTTAGGATTTTTGTGCTAAAAAAGAGATACCAGTACGAAAAGAAAGCCCCGATGAAAGGCCCGAAAACACCCGAAACCTCTGCTTGGAGACATAAAATGTGAGAACGTGCTTAAAAACGAACCGGAATTTTTCTAGCATATTCAACGACAATTTTCGGGTCATCAGGTCAGTACACTAAACTACAAGACATAAAAGAGAACTTTTCGTGGGTCATCAGGTGAAAATCTGGGGGTCAGAGGTCAGGGATTCCCGCCGAACGTTCCTGTCACTCGGTTTGGAAGATGGCGCGAAGATTGTTCCAGAAAACTTCAAGTAAGTTCATTTGCCTTCATGCCAACGCTTGTAACCGGACAGTTTCTTGTTTTAGCGTTAGTATATCACTGCTTGGCTGTGGTGTTCAGCTATTGTTTCATATTTGAGGCTTTGAGAGTGATATTCGACCGAGAATCGTCAGAAAGATGGAGGGATCATCCGATGGGGGAGGGGGCAATTTGGAATGTGGCGGGAGATATGAATGGTGAATAGTTGAACAACTATCGTGGCCAGGTGTTCACATAGGTGATGTATATGTTGTACTACACAGTACTGAAAGTGTGAAAGTGCTGTAGACACCATATGTCACCGCCTTCACGGATTTTTTAATGATGAAAGGCCTAGAAATTTTCTGGAAAACTATTTGGTGACCCTTGACCTTTCCGCCCTGGTAATTTGATTGAGTGTCGCTGTATGATCACCATTCCTTCACACAAGAAGGAGGAGAACAACGCATTGTTTTTGCTCTGTTTCTTCATTTTATTCTCCGGCCAAAAACATAAGGTCAACGAACAGGACGAGACGGCTATCACCATGGTAACTGGTGCTGTAGCAGACACATTGTGGTGTTGGGTTACATTATGTAGTAGAACGGAGTTGGAGAGGCTGCTTATTATATATATATATATAGTATTTGACTTTGAGTAAGAATTGACCGTGCAGTAGTTGTTGGGTGTGGGTGACCAAGTGAACGTAAACATGCATTTATCTTGCAAATGTTACATTTTTAGTTGTAAGTTTGATGTGAAGTAGCAATCATTGAAAATGACTTACCTCTCCATTCAGGAAACAGTAGAGGATGGAGACGAAGAATCCCTGTGAGGAAACAAAAGATAGGTGAGTAACGTTAATGTCCTGATGCCATCAATAGAGTATCTTTAAATTTTGTATTACAGTGCTTCTTATGTTAATGTGCATTTTCCATGCATTATGTAATATACTATGTATATATCCTGTTTGTTTCAAGGTTGTACAGGTGCACCATAAAGCTGAAACTATGGCATGTGTTTTACCTCCATTGATGATTTTGTAACTGAAGTGACAACAAAAGCTTTTGTAAGTTATGCACTGCAATTGTTGTATTATTGCCCGTCCTTCTACACCCCCTTTCCTATGATTGGCACCATATCAGGCAATACCTACACAACTACCATACGCTCATTTTCATTTCTGCTAGAACGCTGTATAGTTTCCTAAGTAGTCTAAAAGAGCACTAATCACATGACCCCTGACCTCATGGACTGACTTATCTTTCGATTGGAATGACACAGACTATGATTATGCCTTATGATTTTGACTGTTTTGGTGGTCCTGTTTCCAATGATTGACTATTCTTTGTTATTATCTCTATGTTTAATCATTTGATTGTCTATGTCCTTTGTAACTTGTTCTGTTGGGCTACCTTGGAAATCAGTTGTCCTAAACTGAAGGTACAACCCAACCGTTTTTAAGATCAATCAATAAATAAAATAAATTGTTTTCTGTCCTTTGTCTATGTCCTTTGTAACTTGTTCTGTTGGGCTACCTTGGAAATCAGTTGTCTCAAACTGAAGGTACAACCCAACCGTTTTTAAGATCAATCAATCAATAAAATAAATTGTTTTCTGTCCTTTGTCTATGTCCTTTGTAACTTGTTCTGTTGGGCTACCTTGGAAATCAGTTGTCTCAAACTGAAGGTACAACCCAAACGTTCTTAAGATCAATCAATAAATAAAGTAAATTGTTTCTATTTAGTCATTATGTGAAGGGAAGATAATATCCATAGAATAACTTAAGTAGCACCTGGAATGAGTTGAAGAACAGTTCGAAGTAGAGCCTGATCTCCTGTGCCAGCCCCTTGGTGTCATCAGGCATGCCCACAAACACGATGTAGTGCACTCCGAACAGCGGGATCAGAACCATCGTGGATTTGGCTAGCTTCCTGCATAAGGAAAGAAGGTTAAAACGCCCTCCACTCACCATTCGGTGTATACTTTAGTGCCTATCGCGTTTTCTACATCCCTTGGGCCACACAATCGTGCAATCATAACAGCATGGGGTGTGTGTGGTAACGGTAGATTGTTCGTCTCAGCACAAGAGACGTGACATGCCACCGATCTTGTGCCCTTGGGAAAGGCACTTTCTACGACTTTCCTCACATAACTCAGGTGAAAAATGAGTATTGTATTGTCCCCTATGTTGGTACTAAAATAAGTTGGAAAAGCTTGAGTGTGTCGTCACCACGTCTTGTGATTACATGTTGGAATGATAAAAAAATCATTACATCTCGGCGGGAGGGATACTGATAGTGGTATATGTTGTGTGTTCACTTAATCGTGAGACCTAAGCAGACGAAGTGCCATGCACTGTTGGAAAATTCTTTGGCACGACCTAGAAATCCAGCAGAACGCAAAGTAAGATTTAGAGCTCATCTGTATCTGTGTCATACATGCTTAAAAATGGATTATTTCACTTTGATCCAAGACAAGTGACTGAGTAGTCATTCAATCATTTTGTCCATCGGCTTTTATCAGGAATTTAAGATCAGAGCGCGTGTCAGAAAAGTGGATCAAAGTCCTGATTACGGCGGATGAACATAACTGAAAATTCGATGAGTGATCTGTCACTTGTGTCGGATAAAAGTGAAACAGTCTCTTGTTCATTAAGCTTGCTTATATGGGATTTTTGGTCAAAGGACTTGATGAGCTAACGTTTATCACTTTTTTAAATCTATGTCAGCTCTCACTTAGCCTTAGCAGCTGGACTGCCTAGACAGAACGCTGTCAGAGTTTTGCGCTGAGGAAAGAATTAACTTCTCGTTTACGTTTGAATCTTTCTCTGTCCCTGATCTTAGTGATCTCCCTCGGAAGACTGTTCCAAAGTTTAACAGTTGTTGGTACAAAGGTTCTCATATGATTGTCGGTGTGAGAGACGGGGACCACCAGAGTATTTTCGTGATGGGATTTTGACTGGCGTGTCACCCACTTTAATGACAGTATTCGACACACTGCCCTACAATATGTGCAAAGCCTGGATGTTTCTCTGAAGGGTGGTCATGCCTAATCTTCAAGCAGATCTTAGGGTGGCAAAGCAGTATCCAATTCGCCAAGCAGTGGTTTGATGGGTAATGGACACTGCTTGGCTAATGGATACTGCCTTGCCACCGTGGAATCTGCTTGGCTATGGAGACTATCCCTGAACGGAGACTATGCCGGATTGAACATATACCGATACTTGGCATAATTTGTGGTGGAAGATGTCCTGCATTCTGTATCTTGTGACAACCAACTTAGTGCATGTAGTAAATGAGTGCATACGTATTACTGCGAGTACTATGATCGCCATTTGGCTTTTGTATTTGTTACGTGTAGTTTTTGGTACAAGTACGCAATTTAGCGCCTTGGCTATGTACTTAGGACTCCGAACAGCCAATAAAAATCTCTCCCTCTCTCTATCTCTCTCTCTATCTATATCTATCTATCTATTTATCTATCTATCTATCTATCTATCTATCTATCTATCTATCTATCTATCTATCTATCTATCTATCTATCTATCTATCTATCTATCTATCTATCTATCTATCTATCTATATATATACATAGATAGATAGATAGATAGGTAGATATATGAGAGTACTACAGAAGTTCTACTCACATCGGCATCTGCATTTGAACGCTGTTCCTCCGGCCTCTATTATAACGGTTGCCCCCTCCACTGAAACACAGAAAACAATCTAAGGCCACACCAATTTAATTTGTTGGTTCTCGGATTCGCCTCTTCGTTTTTTTCTGATTTGCAAAAAAAAAAAAAATTTTGATTCTGGTCCTGAATCAACTGAAAAATGCTCATGTTTGCCCCCCAACAGTTGAGGAAAGTCCTTTTCTTCCTAGTTGTTACAGTTTTCCCATCTATCATTGCAGTGGTTTGATTAAAAGTTCAAAATTCAATGTTTAAATTTTAACCCAGCCTTTTGTGTTGACTTCATGGCTCATTTTGTAGCATTTAAGCCTATAATAGGATGCCTAGACCTGTTTTTATTTATTTTTTTTTCGCCCTGTCGCTTCATATTTTTTCTGAAAAAATCCGAGAACCAACAAATTAAATTGGTGTGGCCTAAGTTAGATTTCCACAGAGGCTGTTAAGGGACCGTTGAGCTTGGATTTATCCCTCAATAGTCTTTCAGGCAACTGTTCCTGATCTGCAAGGCCATCCAATTACCTCTAAGTTATCTTTAAATGATCTCAATGACCAATTATTTCTTTCAAGTACCGCAGAAAATGGTCCCTTAAAGCTTACTAAATTTGAACGAGTTGTTCAGTGATCAGTTACAGCATTAGACATAATTCCTAACGGTGTCATTCTGACTTACCGGTCCTCGTAAAATGATGACTGAGCAATATAATGAGACATTTGTGCGAACTCTCTTCACAATTTGCAGACAATTTGCAAACGATTATGTAGACATATACCTTACCCATAATGGTGTCATTTTAGGTAAAACTATGACCAGTAATTGTACTCACAGGACTAACACAAAAGTACACATAACTCAATCCAAGCTTGTCTTTGCGAAGATCCATGGGAGATTTGTAATTGCTTACCCGTTCTGTTGAGGCTGTCTACGGAAGCAGCAAGCACAGCATTTGTTTCGGTTCCTGATAGGAAAAAGAGGACGTTGCATATATATTTGCACGTTATGTCATAAAAATCTGTAGTTTACATAAAGATGATAGCCTCTGATTACATAGGCTAGTATGTTAATTTTTTTATTATTTTAAAGGCTCATTTGAGGGTAAATGCATGCCAAAACCTTGAACGACGCGGACCGACGTTTTGTTGAGTTTTTGAACGTATTCAATAATAAAGACTAGAAAATGACTTACTGATTTGCCACGTCTGCCGGCTGACGCAGCTTCTTCATAAGTACACGAAGGATGTTCAGGAATAAAAGGAAGTTGACCTGGAAAAAAAAGAAAGTTTCAGTTCTATCGGGACCACAAATTATACAATGTTGCCAAATTGTTATATTTATCAATAAAAGATGTGTATGCGTCGTTAAGGTTTGTTCTTCTGCGATGTGTAAGTTTCAAATTGATAGCCGTATATATGTTTTGTTCAACAATTAAAACAATGGTTCCAAAATAACATTTATGAATACTAACCACGATGGAGAGCACGATTGGGGCCTTGTAGATCCACTTGTATACCGTGTCTGTGTCCCAACATCTGAAATAACAAGCAAGTACCTCCTTGAAACCTTACTGAGATGTATATGATGTATAATTCATCGGAAAGAACAGATATGTGCATCTCAGAAAGACATTGACCCACACATAAAACAAATCATGGCAAATCCAATCTGTATTGGTTCTCTATAATTTTACAGCGTACACCAAGAACATTTGCTTTAGAAACAAACGTTTATGGAAATCTGACGCCTCTTACTCCTTATGATTCCAGGTAAAGCAGTTTTCTCCTACCAGGACTACGTAGCTGTAAAAGATGAGGTCTGCATCGGAGGCTACAATCTACATGCACATACCCAGTGTCTTCCAGCGTCGCTCGTACCACCACCCAAGGGACCACAAACGTCAGAGGAAACACTGGAAAAACGGTAAGAAAAGGAGGTATGAGGAAACACTTATGTCTTGAAGGAAAAGACAAATTTACGTATAGTATTTGTACTTTGGTCATGTGTACATGTATGTTATAAATGTTATAGACTTATTGTACAACAATAAAGCTATTATATTATTTGTACTTTGCTATTATCATATTACTTGTACTTTGTTTATATGTACGTTATAATGATAATAAACTTATTGTACAACAATAAAGTTATTATCACTAACTCTATAGTGATAATAAATTTATTGTACAACAATAAAGTTATCATTAACTATAATGATAATAAATTTATTGTACAACAATAAAGTTATTATCATTAGTCTATAATGATAATAAATTAATTGTACACCAATAAAGTTATTATCATTAACTGTGATGTTAAAGATATATAGCATGCAATCTTCAATTACTTGACAGTTTGCTTTAACAATGCCTGGAAACTAAACCATAACAGTCTATAAGAGACTATTATGAGGCGAGAGTATATACTTGTACATTCATGTTTGTTATGTAATATATATCAGCATAAAGGCTTGCAGTCCCAAGCTGGTTCACGGTTTGCGGCTTTGCTCCCACTTTCAAGATGAGCCTTAGGCAGTTGTGCTAAATCTTTTACAATTAAGCGCTTTAGTGGGAGCCGTTACAGTCGCAAAAGGCTTTTCATGATTCGCACGGGACGAAAGTCCAGAGGCAGCGACGAGGCAACCCATCTGTCTTTAGAGGGAATTGACAAATTTTCGGTGAATAAAGCTTTAGTGTGCATCTGTTGGGTGAACACTGCGAATGGAGCTATCATAAGAAAGGTTTATGCTGATTGCCCCGCGCCTGTATTTGCCTACTCACCCCAGCCAATCGCGATGAATCCGTAGAAAAACTTCCTCTCAGAAAACACGGAGACGAAGATGAGGTTGTGGAGGTACAGTCCCTCCACCAGGATCCAGAAGTAGTTGGTGGCCATGAAGTACATGAAGCAGGTATACAGGAGTTTACAACCCACCTGTTTGATAGAAAGAATTATGTACGTGTCGAAGAGACACAGTTTGTGTTGAGGCTGTATATGTTTTATGAATGACGAAAGACACGTGTTTTTAAATTGCATCCTACCAATGTTTCTATACTTACTTTTATATCTTACTTATTCTATAAGTCTAATGTTGTGACTTGAATCTTTACAACATATTTATTCATCAATTTTATATTGATTAATGAATAACTCCCTTCTTTCTCCACTTTTTGAAGAAAAAAACTTTGTAGTAGTTTCAACTCATTGATCATGAGTAGTAGTAGTATAGATAGATAGATTCTCCAACACCCGTATGTAGTACATTCTCCCTTGCGGTTGAGAGTCTAAGGCACATAGAAGCTATACCTGGGAAGAAGTAGGTAGAACGATTTCTCTATGTCATTCGTCCTTTTACGTAATGATAGCCTTGGCAGATACACAAAATAACGCCAATCTAGTACCATTAATGGAGCATATATTTGTTGGGGGTTAGTGCCTGTGACACTTTGTCTAGCCATCGCATCTTACCGTGTTCCTTGGGGACTTGTTAGTGTCGTAAGAATAGAGAACGGCGTCTCTGAGCAGGATAAAGAAGGCCCGTAACATGTAGGACACAAACAGGTGCATGTGGACGTAGTTCCGCGTACAGTGGAGTCTTCTACATATAAACAATAAACAACAAAGCATATATAGAATGATTCAATACAATGGCCTATTTTACAGTAGTAATGATTGCAATGTTATTTACCATTATATTATTGATAGAAACAGGGACCAAGTACATTCTATATATTATAACTCATGTATGGTAGATATAGGAATGTATATCAAACAATGTCTAGACATAAGAAATTCCTCCAATATTGTAAAAGTTCATTCACATCCTATATCAGCCACAAACTCCTGTATTAGTTAGTTTAGTCCATAGTTAAGTTTATAGATAAGTTTTGCCATACTTTGTACCATGTACAACTGTTGTGCAATAAAGTTATTATTATTATATTATATAATGCTACGACTGGCATGTACCCACAAGTGTATACTAAGAGTATCTAAATGGTTTGTTTTTTAAATACATTCCACACTTACACATTGCCAATATACGTTTATGTTTCCTAAGGTGATGTACATGTAGCTTTGTACGCTACTAATTTCATTAATAAGTACTTACTTACTCGTTAAATAAGCGTGTTCGCAAAATTACTCATAGCATTCAAATTATTGGCTCTATTACGATAGATATAATTACTCGTAGCATTCAAATTATTGGCTCTATGATGATAGATATACCAAGAGTCCAAGACTAAAGTCGATCTTTGCCTACGCATGTTACGTTTATGCCTTTGCTTTAAGCTACTTACTTGAATCGTGCCAGTATGATGAAGGCTATGAACAGTGACACTAGGGAGATGGAGTAACCAACAGTGTAGATTTTTGTCACGTTGTCTATCACGTGTGGAGGAATGGCTGGTTCCGCCTTCTGAAAAATACAAAAGGTACTAGTACTAGGAAACAGATTTATTTATTTACACTTGCTTTCTCTAGCCAGGGTAGCCCACTCAGTGATTAAACAATGCTTTGCAGAACAACATGGCAAAACGCATAGCATGTACGCACAGGGTAAAACAAACATATCTACGCATCTACAAACTTTGAGGAGAAATTGATGATACCAATTACTAGTTCTTTCGTTGCTAAAGGGTAAACAGCTGTTTAGCTTAGGGAAATGAAACAAAACACTGGGAAGGGAAAGTATCATTTGCTATGGCTCAGACCCAAGTTGGTACAATGTAGGACTTGAAGTCACTTTTTATAGAACGGCTGTATTCAATTACAGCTTTACGAAGAACAGTTCAATGATATATTTATCTACCAGATACCTTTGACCCAGTGCTGACGTCATACTTCAACGACGCCCCAGTGTGGCTTGTCACGTGGGCCACGTGACAAGCCTCACTGGGTCAGTCTACTGAGGAAGACCAGAGTGACTGGTCGAAAGCTCTAGGTGAGAGAACTTTATAGTGTTGGATCTTAGGTTTTAACTTTAGACATGTAACTACCAACACTTGAAATGTCATGGTAAATGATGTCTTTTCTAGGTCCCTTGTGTCCTTACCGGTATTTCGGTGCATTCCGTGTGGTTTAGAAACGTCTTGTTGGTCAACGTGTTAATCTTCCATTCTCCCGATAGTTCACAATGTCTGTAGGCATGTCCTGAAACAAAAAGGTATAAACGTCTAAAATTGATCGTCTACAGATGTAGAATTAGACTAGAAAGGTAACATTTGCAAAGCAAGTGCATAATGTTTACCTTCGCACGTGGTCTGCTCTGTAAACTCTTACTAAAAACATTCATCTATGTGGTGAGAGGAGTCTAGATCCCTCCTGCTATAAAAATGCAACATGATGTAACCCAACACCAGTTACCATGGTGACAGACGTCAGGTTCTGGCCATTGACCATTTGTGTTTGGAACGGAAGAAGAGGAAACAGAGCAAAAACAATATGTTTTCCTTCGGTAAACATGATAAGGAAATAATGATTTCCATGATCTTCCTTTCTGTACATACATGTGAAAAGAGCAGTGATGCTTCAACGCAGTTATGACCATGTGGGTCTGCTATCTGTAATCAAATAGCGTGGCCTTATCAAAGAAACCAGGACACGTGTCTATAGGTCGTATGCATCATATGTAGGTTACATTGATGAGAGTTAGACATTCAGGTGAACGACGTTTCGAGTGACATCCACCGCTCTTCTTCTTCAGCGTTAGTTCATTAGTGACACTGAAGAAGAGTGGTGGCTGTCACTCGAAACGTCCGGAATTTATGTAATTGTAATTTATCCAGTAGTAAAGTTTGAATTTCCTATGAGCATATGTAGGTTATCTTGTTGAAGCCGTTCTATATTCCTTCAAATCGGCCTGCAGACCGCTTGTCATTGAGGTCACGGGCGAAGAGGTTAGTGTCAGACATTTTTGGACCATAGCATTATGCAGGGGACAGGACACTTACAGTAGGATTTGTAGTATTTTTCTACCAAACAACGTATTGTAGTTTATTTTGAATTATTTCATTACGCTCACTCGGTGGTTTATTCGGTAGTTATCGCACCTGACCAGGGATTATCTCACCATATACTAGTACCCCTCGACCTGGGGCATTAACTATTTTTTTATCAATCACATATCTATTACCTCGGCTTCTGAAGAACGCAGGGCATGGCGCGCCGACCCTCTCGCCCGCTGTCCCGTACGGCCAGCAGAAAGCTCCATCCCACTCCTGTATGCAGTACGTGCCTGGGAACAGAAATCATCTATAGTTAGACACTATGATAAGATACCAAACACTTGATGGGTTCAGCGTGCATATAGATAAGGATATGTAGAACATCCAAAGTATGGTCACCATCGTAGTAGCTGTAGTGCCGTAATAGCAGATAGACCCATCCCACTCCTGTATGCAGTACGTGCCTGGGAACAGAAATCATCTATAGTTAGACACTTTGATAAGATACCAAACACTTGATGGGTTCAGCGTGCACGTAGATATGGATATGTAGGACATCCAAAGTATGGTCACCATCATAGTAGCTGTAGTGCCGTAATAGCAGATAGACCCATCCCACTACTGTGTGCAGTAAGTGCCTGGGAACAGAAATCATCTATAGTTAGACACTTTGATAAGATACCAAACACTTGATGGGTTCAGCGTGCACGTAGATATGGATATGTAGGACATCCAAAGTATGGTCACCATCATAGTAGCTGTAGTGCCGTAATAGCAGATAGACCCATCCCACTACTGCGTGCAATACGTGCCTGGGAACAGAAATCATCTATAGTTAGACACTATGATAAGATACCAAACACTTGATGGGTTCAGCGTGTGAAGACGGTCCATAGTATAAGCCACCACCATACCAAAAAGCATACCTAACATTTATCACCACTTGGTGAATCACCAGTTTCGTGCTGTGTTGAGATGCCTATATTTGAGATGCTGTACTATATCTCTATCTCCCCCCTCTCTCCCTCTCCATCTCTCTCCCTCTTCCTCCCTCCCTCCCTCTCGCTCCCTCTCCCTCTCCATCTACCCCTCCCTCTCTCTCACCATCTCCCTCTCCCCCTCTCTCCCTCTCTCTCCCTCTCTCCCTTTCTCTCTCCCCTCTGTCTCTCTCTCTCCCCCTCTCTCTCTCTATATATATATTGCTAGTTTACAATGCCATTATCTACATTGTACGTCAGTACCATAAACTACTGATACCATGGTGGGTTAGGTTAGTGCTAACTATATGACCATTACTTAAATTGAGAAATAATCCGTACCGTTGTGTTGGGGTGGGGTGCTGGCTGCCATCTGTGCCCGGCATTGCCGCTCGGCCGCAATAATCTCATCATCGACTCCTGCGGCACCGCTTCCCTGTGATAAAGCGGCAAAGTTCAGAAGAAAGTCGCCAAATATGATCACTATTTGAAAAATCATGCCCGAAGGCTAATTGCTTTCACAGTCAAAGACACTATTCGGTAAAATACAATAAGACAGACAACTACTTATCTGAAAAAAACGTATACTTCTACTACTACGCTTGCTATTATGAGGTTTGACTTCTTCTTTGAAGGCAGTGGATAAGTGTGAAATGAGAAACATGATCAATAACATTAAGCTACCATTAAGGAACCATTATTGCCGTTAAGCTGCTATTTCTGACATTAAGCTGTACATGTAATGATTCTGTAAAGCGATTTATCAATTTCCTTGTGAACCAAATGCATCCACCATGGTTCTCACCAGGATTTTTTCACAGCGTAGGGGTCCGGTACAGAGGGCAAATTTCTTCGGCGCGAGTCGCGCATCGAGATTCAAAAAACATTACTGTAGCAGGGGGTCTAATATTCTCCCAATACAATTTTGTAATTCATAACCCCGAGACACTATTTCCTGCTTATTGGTGGCAAGATTTTGTTTTCCCTTAGCTTCATTCTTAAGTTATATTTTCATTTTTTTTAAAGATGAAGCTTCCCCCCCCCCCAAAAAAAAACACCCTTACGCTGGTTGAAAGAGAGTGTAGGGGGCTAAATCACAGCTTAGGGGGTCCATATCACAGTGTAGGGGGCAACTACGCTCAAACATCCTGGTGAGAAGTATGCATCTACGGTTTTCACCGCTATGGTATTTGTGGCGTTCGTTGTTTTTTGTACAGTATGAGTCACAGTTATTTGTTTAGAAATGTACTTCCTCAAAATTTCTTTTGCTATTGCTATTGAAAGGCCGGCCCAAACCTTTCAACTATTCAATAACCCGTGATAATCGCTTGGTACTTTGTTGATTGCGATTCAATCACTTGTTCACTTGTTAGAGCAATTGAGTTTGATTGCGATTCAAGTACCACTACATGCTGTACGTCAAGAGGTATGTTTACGTTCGCGGTTCGAACTTGACTTAATTAGTCTCCAAGCAGATTATACGGTGGCAAGGCAGTATTCTTTAGCTAGAGGAGTTTCTCTATCTACCTAATATAGTACCTAATATAGTATCTCTATCTAACAAGTCTACCCAGTAAGACTGTGCTAGGACGTTCTTGTTTTTACTTCAGCGCCCATATGAGAACCTTTGTACCAACAACTGTTAAACTTTGGAACAGTCTTCCAAGGGAGATCGCTAAGATCAGGGGCAAAGATTTAAACGTGAAGTTAATTCTCTCCTCTGGCCAATGGATATTGCCTAGCCATATGTTTTTCTTGGAAATTAGACCATGATGTTTCATTTGTTTTAAATATTTTGCCTAATTCTCTCTTCTAATTTGTAGTTAGCCGTGTAACCGTTTTCACCATCAGATTCATTTCTCAAAGATACCGTCTGACAGCGGGCATATGTCTGCTATGTGGACCATCAAGGAACCAGCAGAGGGATTCTATCTTCCGCTATTGTGGCTGGGATTTGATTACGAGCCCATTGGATTCGATTATGCTTGATAAAAAGCAAGGCGAGGGGAACGGAGTTCTGGCAACCGTGTTTGTTAGAAGCATGTGTGTACACCAAGGAGCATAGTCAGACAATGTACTGAATATTCTAATTTTGTAAAATGTGTTTTTGTAATCATAGTCTGATCTTGTTGCCAAGCATGTTTCGTTGCCAAGCTAGGCGAAGGAATCGAAGTTCTGGCAACCGTGTTTGTTAGAAGCATGTGTGTACACCAAGGAGCATAGTCAGACAATGTACTGAATATTCTAATTTTGAAAATGTGTTTTCGTAATCATAATCTGATCTTGTTGCCAAGCATGTTTCGTTGCCAAGCGAGGCGAAGGAACAAAGTTCTGGCAACCGTGTTTGTTAGAAGCATGTGTGTACACCAAGGAGCATAGTCAGACAATGTACCGAATATTCTAATTTTGAAAATGTGTTTTCGTAATCATAGTCTGATCTTGTTGCCAAGCATGTTTCGTTGCCAAGCAAGGTGAAGAAAACGAAGTTCTGGCAACCGTGTTTGTTAGAAGCATGTGTGTACACCAAGGAGCATAGTCAGACAACGGCCGAATATTCTAATTTTGAAAATGTGTTTTCGTAATCATAGTCTGATCTTGTTGCCAAGCATGTCTCTTTGGATCTTACATACACACCTATGAGTACCTACGGAGCTATATGAGTATAACTAGATCATACCAGTTTAAGTAGGTATCATTACTTATACAGCTTAGTCTTAAGAACTAAGTTTTTGATACCGTCGTAGAGGATGAACAGCTTATGTTTAGATTAATTGTAAAAACAAAAAAAAGTATATCAACGTTGATGAAGGTTAGACATCCGGGTAAAACAATACTCGTAGGAAATTCAAACTCTAGTACTTGATAAATTTCCTGACGTTTCGAGTGACATGCAACACTTTTCTTCAGTGTCACTAATGAACTAAGCTATTATATGCGTCAGTATCAGTTCCTATATGGTATTATCTTACCATAGGAACTACCTTATCTCCTTTACATATCAATGACTATATGAGTCCTTGTCATGTTCAATCGGTATGGCCAGATACGATTTCTGTTAGTTCATTAGTGACGCTAAATCAGAGTGGTGGATGTCACTCGAAACGTCCGGAAATTACCCCCGAATTTTTATCAAGTAGTAGATTTGAATTTCCTGTAAGTATATCAACAATGTTATTATATTACTATATACCTGTGGTTTGTTCCTATACTTTGTAATGCTGATTTAGAGAACTATGTATCATGGTTGTTTTGGATGTAATCAAGATACAATACAACTCCTGATTATCTCGACATCCTTTTATATTTGGCTGCTCGACTATGGATGAACAAGGATGCTGTGGATAGCTCTAGGACAGACATGGTCAACATTTCTGTTTACATATGAGATGGGTCGAGCTTAGGGTGTGTTTGTGTGTATGTGTGCGTTCTAGATCCGATGGTTAAAGACAGGTGGTCCGAAGGTACACGGATAGGTAACTCGATCTATTTTGAATAGAAACGGTCAACAGCTTTCGGGTCCACTTGTGCTGGTTGCTGCATGCACGGAATAGCACCAAAGCTAGCGCGCAAATGCCATGTCGTTGAGGGAGTTTTGTAGGTGGCGGACTGGAGCTATTGGTGGCCAGCGTAGCATGTAAACGGGAGCTGTTAGTCCAAACGGTTCTGTGTAAATGTGTGTAAAGACGTATATATCATCTTTGACATATACTACTGTGTGAAGGCCGGAGTTCCTATTTTTGCCAGCGAACGTTCCTCTTCTCTCTAAAATACACAAGGCGGCCGAAATAGTATCTTTAGATTTCTACAGAAGCCCTATGGTGCGCCCAAGCTTTGGCCTAAATATTCCAGTGTGTATATGTTGAGAATTATAAACAATGACACTATACGACGAACTAGCCTCCGTAGCAGGCTTATGGAACTGGGGGTTTGGTGGTCTTCGGCTGTTTTCTGATTAGCCCAGTTCTAAAAAACGGGGGTAATTCAACCAGGCCGGCTATGTTGTCTATATGCAATCAGAAAATAGCACATAAAAGATCCCAAAGACCATGAAGACCCCTAAAGTAACCCCCAGTTTTTGGAGGCTAACGACGAACCCAAGTTGTTGGTGGGTTGTTAGCGCCATGTGGCCCAGCCAGCCTGCGGATAATCCTATTGCACAGACCGACTGGGAAGACGTTTTTGTAGATACACCTGCGTTTGATCAATATTTGTCGAGAATCTTGTAAACTGGGTCAAGCAGACAGCAGACATCTTCTTCTCACAAACGCACATCCACCTGTGACAGACTAAATAACGTCTGACACAGATATTAGAAACCAGGTCATAACTATATATTTCAGGAAGTAGATATCACCGAGGTGTGAACGTCTCAAAACTCGAAAACAATCATCGGTCTAGTCAGCTGTTTTGAGGTCAGTTGAAATCTAGACCATTTATTTGCATCCCCGATCGGGTCATTGAGTTCTGTTGCTGTTCGCTTTAACTCAACTGTTCGGGTTGTTTAGATTTATAACTTTGCCTCGGGGGGTACATGTACATAGGGCTTCCTAACATTTGCCGTAAAGCTTGAAACTCTTAAAAGTTATGATGTGATCTCGCGTTATGACCCCGTACATTGAAAAGGTGTGAACGGATTCTTAAGCTTTGTTTGTTTATTTGTTGAGACTTGGCACATTTGTGGAATGATTGACATAACAGGTGACTATCGCCTTTTCAAAGTGTCAACTAGGAGACCAGGCTGTAAGGTTTGAGCCACTCACACTGGGAAGGAAGGGTCCCCGACTATTTTCTAACTGTGGTGGGTTCTCTAACGTGCTTAAGGTGCGGCCATTCTCAAACACTGGACCTCCAGCTTTACGTCCGATCCGAGAGGACGTCCCTAACCGAAGATAGGCACTCATTTTCAAAGGTGTTAAGTGCCTTTCCCAAAGGGGACAACACTGGGGCCTGTCAGGAATTCGAATACAGAACCCTCCGATTTTTTAGTCAACAACCTGAAGCACAAGAACATCTTGCCACGTTTCCTCTCCGTTCTTTCTAACTCTCACCCTCTATTTCTGCATTCCTTTTCTTCCAACCAAGTGTCTTACGTCTTCAAACACCATACGTATGTTTGATGCTTTTTTTTTCTTCTGCACTGTGCCACAATGGCCGCTGGCAGACAGACTACTACCGCTTTTGTTTACACAGCAGTTCGTTGCCGAACGACATGTACTGTCAGACATCTAAACCGGTTTTCCCCTCCACATGTCATGCTCCTATTCAAACAGCTCTATAGAAACCGTCAGGAACTGTCACTTATTAAGTAGAAACTTACCTTGGTGAGGAATAAGAGGCCTGCTGCGAGTAAGACCCAACCTGCCACACACTCTGCCTTTCCCATACTTCATCTGAGATTCCGTGCTGGCGAGTCCGCGTGAAAATGCATGAGTGAGCGCCTCAAAAGTACAATCCGTGGAAAACGCTTAATCCCAGGCGAAGCGCCGTCGGCTGGAAGGAAGGTCCCGCAAAGTGGAACAGCGTAACTCCTTCAGGTAATATGTTGTCGGAAATCTCTGCATGTAGCCCCAAACCGAGGAGGAAATGGCTTGCGCGCTGGCTCTCTGGTCAAACAACAACGCCTAGTTCAGTGTTGGTTAGAGTCCCGTATGTGTTCTTCTCGAATATCCAAGACAAAGAGAAGTCCATTCACGGCGAACGCGAGTGTAATCGAAGCCGCGGTTCGCACCAGACTGTGCCTGGGACCCACCAACGCGTCTGAGCTGAGGTTCGTCTGGCTGCGAGAGCGAGTAGCGCATTGCGCAGTGATCTTACTCTCACGCCAATGGCGAGACGATCCGACACCTGACGTCATTGATGGATCAGCGCTAGTTATGCATAGAATGTCGGAGATATACAACAACGTTTTAGGGGACGGTTTTAACCTACGACAATGTAGTGTGAACTTCATGTGCCTGCTCTCAATGGGAACATAAAAACTGAGCGCTATTCATTACATCAGTCAAGGGAAGGGGACACAAACATGCCTGGGTATTCGGGGTCATACTTCTTGTTTCCTTTGTTGGACGTGATGACAATAAACAAAAGATCACCACATGTGAGTGTGTTACACGTTTTCGTTGTCAGGAAGAGATGATGTAAATGTTTTCTGATGTAACACTTCTCTCTTAATGAGGAATCTCGGCAGCTGTTATTTTCCTGGGTCCAAAAATAGGTTGGAAAGTATGCCAGGAACTGGGCTTTTGCTTACAAATGAGATACGTAATGATATGAGATGCCCAAGGGCATAGAACTGCCATCTCGTTAAGCGAGTTTGAATCTTGGATTCGGGGACGGGGGTGATTTCATACTCAGCTGCACGAAACGGCAACAACACTTTAGAGAAGAAGTGATCTCTGACAACTTAATGATAACTTTCACGTAGTCTCTGCATGATACTTACATTCTGGATGGTATGGAGGTTGGCTTTCAGTTGGTTTCTCCTCTGTATATATACAATCGAGTTTGAATCTTGGATTCGGGGACGGGGGTGATTTCATACTCAGCTGCACGGAACTGCAACACTTTAGAAGAAGTGATCTCTGAAAACTTAATGATAACTTTCGTGTAGTCTCTGCATGATCATTACATGTTGGATTATATGGAGGTTGGTTTTCAGTTGGTTTCTCCCCTGCATATATACAAACGAGTTTGAATCTTGGATTCGGGGACGGGGGCGATTTCATAGTCAGCTGCACGGAACTGCAACAACACTTTAGAAGAAGTGATCTCTGACAACTTAATGATAACTTTCATGTAGTCTCTGTATGAAAATTACATGTTGGATTATATGGAGGTTGGTTTTCAGTTGGTTTCTCCCCTGCATATATACAAACGAGTTTGAATCTTGGATTCGGGGACGGGGGCGATTTCATAGTCAGCTGCACGGAACTGCAACAACACTTAAGAAGAAGTGATCTCTGACAACTTGATATCTTTCGTGTAGACTTTGCATGATCATTACAGGTTGGATAGTATGGAGGTTGGTTTTCAGTTGGTTTTCACTAGTCTCCACCAGACTTCTTTTGCGGGGTGAATAAATCGTAGAAATCGGCCTAAAAAGGGTATTAATTGGCCAGAGAAGATAGCCGGCCAGAGAAGCTCCATTGCCTTTTTAGGCCGATTTCTACGATTTATTCACCCCGCAAAAGAAGTCTGGTGGAGACTAGGTTTTCACCTCTCTCTACATATACAAAAGGTAGTACATATGCATGTACTAGTAATAAAGGCTGTCATAAGGAGTATCTTATTATTCCGCATGTAGCTTCCTGTTATCTAACGCAGACATTCAGTCGTCACAGTTATTTTGATCCTGCAGGTAGCATTCATTTAATTAGTTTTTCCTGATCTTGTTTTGGCCACACACGGAGCGAAGATAAAAACAGATCATTCCTTAATTAAGTTGCTGGTCTAGCAACATGCTAGAGTCGTGCAAGTCACTTCTAAAGTACATGTATATGTACAAAAACACAACTATATTATGATGTCCAATTTCAGAACTGAAAGACCGAGGAACTCTTTTCTCTATCAGGAAATATGTCTTCACAACAAGGACTTGCAATTAATTATCTTGACATGAATACAGACTGTCATTGAATGGACACTATGGAAATTTTAGAGTAACGTGATTGTTTGTATCAGATCTTTTATGTCTACTTCAATATTGATTTAAAGTTCTGTCAAAATCTTTTCGGTAAGTGTTTTTGTGTTAAGACAAGAAATGTTTTAAGGTAGGTTTTTTGTAAGTACGTTTTGTAAGTACCATTTTGTAACGAGGAATGTGATTCAGTATGTGGCTGCCATGTACTTTTGCCAATAACAATCTATCATCATGTAGAGTACTAGCACGCTGCTTTGAGCAAGGCCAAAGCAACTTGTCTCCATTTAACCATAGCAATCACACAGGCAAGTTCAAAACACTCCACTCAAGGCTCTTCCGATTGCAACAGCCGTAACACGCAACATTTGTAATTCCACTTAGCGCCGGTAGGTCGACAACGTGCCACAAATCAAAACATAATGTAACACATACAATTCAAATGTAGAACTGAGAGGTATCGCAAGACCACACTGCCTTTCCTGGTTGGTCTACTTAATGAGACATGACACGCACAGGCGTTGCCCATCTAAGATGATTACCAGCTAGATTGTTGTATTTATATGTTTTAACAAATCAACTAAATGGTTTTAATATGCGTATATGTGCAGACCTAACGTAAGGCTTTTTAACTTGTATTGATTGGGTATTAATGGTATAGACTACGAGTAAAAATTCTCTTGTTGTAATGCCATACTGTAATTCAACTAAAGGGCTGCCACTGTATGGTTGATTTGAGTCTCCAATAGACCATTGATTAAATAGCCTTAAAGGCATCCAGTGCAGTTTTTAGGGCTTGAAAACCCGATTTTGCAAAGCCAATATTCTAGTCATTTATGTAACATCCATGTCCATAATATCAGCAGGGTCCATAATATCGCCACCTTGGGAGACAGTGTGCTTAAAGATATTTTTACTGCAACATACCCCAGGTTAGGTATGTACATTTGAGGTGTGCAGGTATGCATACCAAAAGTATGTTGCAGTAAAATATCTTAAAGCGCACTATTTTTCAAGGTGGCGATATTGACCCTCTTGGAGCAAAGATTTCCAAAATTCTGACGGAAAGTGGTTACTGGAAGGCCCCTTGGCTGATTTTTAGGGTACCACCCAGGAAATAAAGGACTCATTTTGGGGCTTTTTTCTGCAGTTTTAATTTAAAAGCCCAACGTATGAAATATCACAAAGATTGCCTTATTCAGAATATTTCTAGTTTTGCTGCCCTGAAATCTCTTTGGATGCCTTTAACACACAAGGAGCAACGCATGTAATAAATGGTGAATAGTCTCTGTAGACTTGGTGGAATGATATATAATACAAAGGCGGACTCCATCAGACTAATACTGATTGCCTTTGTTACATATACGTTCACAATACGTCGATAAAGGTTAGACACCCAGGTAGTGGAAATTATTACTCAAGCAACTGGTGAAAATTTTCAAACATAGTCTGAGGCAAAATCTATCCAACTGTTCGAATAACAGTTTCCTTGTTTATATACGTCGTTTTTTTTACGTACATACCAGTCTTTCTCAAGAGGATTTCTTTCACTACATGCATATGTAGTCAATACTGGAACGAAAAAAACCTGTAGACTATTGTCTTGAGTTACACATTTATTACTTGTAAGTGGAGATGCATCCTACCAAGTCAGGTCAAACCTTTCATAATGATCTCTCAATGGACCACTTAAGAGATATGATTCATTTAAAGCTTAATGCTTGGGTCAATGACCGGGTTATCCTGATGTAGTGGTGGTCCCAGTTATAGGTTTGACTGCATATCAATTACCAGATGGTCCGTATGTAGAGGTTACTAGTACGTGTTTGACTGAATATCAATGGCCAGGTGGTCCTTATGCAGAGGTGGTCACTGATACAGGTTTGACTGTATATCAATTACCAAGTGGTCCGAATGTAGAGGTGGTCACTAATACAGGATTTACTGTATATTAATGGCCAGGTGGTCCTTATGCAGAGGTGCTCACTAGCACAGGTTTGACTGTATATCAATGGCCAGGTAGTCTGTATGTAGAGATGGTCACTAATACGGGTTTGACTGAATATTAATGCCCAAGTGGTCCTTATGTAGAGGTGGTCACTAGTACGTGTTTGGCTGTATATCAATGGCCAGGTGGTCCGTATGTAGAGGTGGTTACTAGTACGTGACTGAATATTAATGACCAGGTGGTCCTTATGCAGAGGTGGTCACTAATACAGGTTTGACTGTAGATTACAGGTTTCATTTACTCTAAAACATAGTCATAAATATTTAACATGCATAAAAGCAGCAATTACATGTACTCTCTTTTGCCCGGAGGTTCACCCCTATACGTATTGTAGTTGACAGTTGAGGCAGTCAGAAATCTTGTGGGGAAATCAGTTGGAAACATATTAATTCAAATGTTCGGAAGTACCAGGCACATACATGTCGTCTTCATACCTAGCTATTAAATTGTGCGAGGTAATTGGCGCTCAAGGACGTCGATGAAAACGTTTTGGTGTCGTACTACACAATGGTAATTAGATTGGTTCCCTGTAGTTGAATTTGGAATAAGTACCAAGCCATAAAAATGTATTATATACACAAAATGGCTTCATACTATCGTGGGATACGTTGTGAAACTTAATTGCGAAGAATCTCCGAGGATGGCGTGTGTGTATGTGTGTGTGCGGTTATTATGTATGTTGGCTTATAGTATCTCTTTTTCGCTAGTACAGCCACAGCAAGAAAATTTTATGGATGACATCCTCCACAGACACCAAATCTAATGCGATAGGGCGAACGAAACAAGGCGGGTTAAAAAAACAACAAGATTCCTACATGTTCAAATTTTGACATCATAAACCTTGTTAAACAAGAAATGATACGTGTATAGTGCTACGCTTACTACCATCTGTTACAACATCCATTTCTCACTGAAACAACTTTGAAAAAAAGTTTTCAATCATTTTACAAATGGTTTTGATTCCATGGAAACATCACATATACACAGCCAACATCACATATAAAAGAAATGAAACACATCACTGTATCAAAGTGAAAAAAAATTAAATCAGAGCCTTGTCTTTTTCTCCTCTCTTTATATTTATTTGCCATCCACGTTCCGTCATGGCAATAGACATATTTTCGGCATGTTGACCATTGTCAAAAGGCAACAAAAGTTCTTGTTTTTTTCCCAATCAGGCGAAATCAATGCGCGCGCTGATGTCATCCATAAACATTGCTTGCTGTGGCCTAATGTATGTAGACTAACGTTCTACATAGTTGATAGAGGTCTCTTTTCACCATACTGATTTAGTATAGCTTTCTATTAGTTAATTCCTGGTAATAAGACACACGTTTGAGTCACAAGTTTAGCACATTCATCAACTCCACCTTGTCACAATTAGACTAACGTTATAGCATCTCTTTTCTATATACAGACAAATCTGCACAAGTAATGCCTTTTCTCATATCATGGAATGTCCAAAGCACGGTTTACAAACTATACATTAGTACATGTACATAGTTAATGGCTGTCAAACACTTTACACGACAGATACGTTTACTCTCAACTATGAAAATACATGTTGTACAGTCCACGAAATAGTACATTAGGTTCTCTGAACTATGTACATTTATTTATTTATAAAAAGTAGAGATCTTTCGGGTATGGGTAGGCTTCACACGAAGAAGGTCTTGATTATTTTGATGGGCAAGGCACCTAGCAATACGTATCCTCTCCAACCGAATATGGCGTATTGGCATTGACAAGGTACGTTGTCAATGGCGAATACATGGTATCTGTCGGATATTAATATGCCAATTATTTACACATCTTTATGTACAAGTTTCATTAGTCATATGTAATTAAGTAGTATGTGCAGTTGACCTCCTCTGTTCACTTTTGACTTTGATAACACGCAAAGCTCGTATAATATTTTTGCATTGTAACGATGGAAATGTGCTATTTTAGAGTTCTTCTAACCGATGAATGGCACTCGTGTTATCTTGGTAAATTCCTCAGCAGATGAAAGAATGCGATTCGATGTTTTCATGAACATTTGATACATTCCGTACGTCGTGACTTTGTTTTGTGTATCAATACTAGCCTCTACGTCAACTGTGGCATGAAGCGAGTTGGCTACAGTGTTACAGCTTTGAATTGACACATCAGACAAAAAATATTGCCACAGAGCAAGCATCAACGTCACTGCAACAGTCATTGCTACAAAACAGTCACTTTTTCAACAACTGCCAAGTCATCCATTCTGATGTCTCCTAAATCAGAACTTGGATTCTGGCTCAGTTCTTCATTTTCATTCTCTCCTTCCTCGTGAATAACGTCTCTGTGAAAACGAGTTTCCTCAGTTCTTGTTCTTCTCGTGCTGAACTTTTTCCTAATTTCCGAGAAGAGGTGGAACGACACGCTCTTGGGCGACGTCGCCGGCGTGTTGTTGCTCGTCGTGTGAAAGAACTTGTCGTTATTTCTTTCGTTTTGCTTGATGTAGTCCACGGACTCGCGCGGTGTCGGTGTGGACACGGAGCTCCCCCGTTTCTGCCGACTTGGGCTGACCGTACTGGTCTCCAGATCGTCCCTTTCTGGCAGCAGGCGGCTCTGGTTGGCGTGTGTGTACGTTTGCGCCGTGCTGAATCCCGCCTGGGTCCGAGACGATAACAAGTCTCTCCCCATCCGCCACCGTTCCCACCGCTTTTTGAACTCTTGTCTTACCTGGAAAAGAGTTAATAATTTAGAAATGATAGTATAAACGAACATTTAACACGACTATGTGGTATCTACGTTAAAGCTAAATCTGGATACCTTTGACCCAGTGTTGACGTTACACTTCAGAGAAACCACGTGAAAAGCCTCACTGGGTCAGTCTTCTGAGGAAGACTAGAGCGACTAGGGAGAACATTTACCTTTTGTGTTTGACCAAAAGTTTAAACTTTCAACAAATTTTAAAGATTTATTACAACAATAAGACGTTTACATAAAATCACACTGATAAGCCATTTTGTTGCGAATATTCGTAGATAAAGATATATATCTGTCTAAATTCTGCAAGGACCAATTTCAACTGAAAGTTAAGAGAGACTAGCTTAAGACAACACAGGAAAGGCTCGCCTTACCTCTCCGTTGAGAAAACAGTACAGGATGGAGACGAAGAAACCCTGTTGAACAGAAGAAGCAAAATGAAGATAAAAAAATCGCCTGGGAATTTCATCATAGACGGCAACAAATACTTTCTTCTGATGCCATCCTACGTTATCTGATCGTTTACATTTCGAATGATAGCGGCACTAGTATATCTGATAATGTTGCTGATAACGTGGAATGCAATGACCACAATGTTGATAAGAAATAACACGATACTGATACTGCTGACGATGATCTTCCTGTTCTATTAACCCACAGCCAGGCCGCGATAACCAAGAACTATCAAATATGTATTAACTTGTATATGCTACTGACAAGCATCAGTTTTCAAACGTTTAAAGGAATAGTACAATCTTGTATTGAGGAATATTCAAAGAAACGTTCATGTTGTTGATAACGGCTACTAAGGGTGATAAGAAATAGCTGCAAGGGTGATAAGAAAGAACACGATACTGATAATAATAGAACTTCCTGTTCTATTAACCCACAGCCAGGACGAGATACCCAAGAACTATCAAATATGTATTATCTTGCATATGCTACCGACTTTTTGAAAACGTTTAGAGGAATTGTACAATCTTATCATGAGGAATGTTCAGGGAAACTTTCCTGTTGTTGATAACGGCCGTAAGGGTAATAATAAATAGCCACAAGGGTGATAAGAAAGAACACGATACTGATAATGACAGATCTTCCTCTTAAATGTTCTTTTAACCCACAGCCAGGCAGCGATAACCAAGAACTACCAAATACGTATTATCTTGCATATGCTACCGACTTTTTGAAAATGTTTAGAGGAGTTGTACAATCTTATCATGAGGAATATTCAAGGAAACTTTATATATTATAAATGGTTTATTTGCAAATTGACATGAAACTAAAACAACATTGCAACCTAATAATACTGCATTGTACAAAAGGCTGAATTACGTAGTTTTAGGGAACACACCAAATATCATTAATATTTATAGACATAGCCAAACTAAATAACCAGAATATTCATCCTCTAACCTGGAATGAGTTGAAGAACAAGTCGAAGTACATTCTGACGGTGTAGGCGAGACCCCTCTCGCTCTCTGGCATACCCACAAACACGATGTAGTGGACCCCAAACAGCGGGATCAGAACCAGGGTCGACTTCGCCAGTTTGCTGTGAATCATAACGTGAAATATTATCTTGTGATCTCAGTAACTGTAGATGATAGTTCATAAAAGATCTGGATTGATCAGCATTTGTTTCTCATGATGTCCAAAGCTATGGAGGAAGTTTGCTAAGGCAATGTTCTGAATATGCTGCGTCAAATGAAATGATTTAATGTACAAATGTTTGAGTAGTTCGGGAATGGTAGATGCTTTAAAGCAAAGAGAGCCATGATCTGTGTAAAACGTAAACGCAGAAAATGCTGAGTTGCTTTGGACTGGGTACTGTGCAGCAGCTTGATGTCGGCAGAGTGCGGCGTGGCGTGATTGGGCGAATTTAGAGGTCTCAAGGAATGAAACTGGAGTATCCAGACATATGTACTTTGGAATGTACAGACATTTGCTCTACCATTTCATGTATATGAGAATCTGCCATCGTTGCCGATGGATAATTTGTTGAGATTTGCGTTAAGGCTGCAAATAAACGATAACAATTTGCACACCAGGAACTACTTTGATATATACAAGATTCAGTAAATAGCATAAAAATACACACGTCACTCGTTATATAACTTAAAAAATAATATAAAAGAAAAAGGTAAAAAAAAAAGATAAGGGCATCGCCAGGGTAACGTTCACCACATGCTACACAGGGTACATGCCAGTGTAGGGACTGGCGCTTGTATCTACAGGCTTTCGTCAGGGTTTAAGGGGTGGAGCAAAAACGCTATCTTGGATCTGGACTGGGGTTTTAGCAACAAACGACACGCAGTCGACTTACATAGGCATTTGCATCTGGACACTGCTTCGTCGTCCGTCCGATCTGTTGCTCGAACCGCTATAAACCGGATTTTGAAGTATAACGATTTTCAATTCAACGTTTCTTTCATTCAAGCAAGCCATGTTATCAATTTTCTACTCACTAGGTAAGGAAGAATGTGTTAAAAGAAAAAAAGGGATTTGAGGACGATATTGACAGGACTAAACAATACGGTGGCACACGTGCAAAAAGGTGCCTATATTTAAATCATCACAAAAATATATCACTGCAAGGCTTTTCTGTGGAGACTATGTTAGTAAACGGTCTATTAGTGTTAGATGTTAAGGTTTGACATTGTCAATATCTGTCTAGCCATGTCAACCTGTAACATGTAATATGTTCTATGTACTATTAATTGAACTTTTTCTATCAGTAAAAATTTCTTGATCTTTTTCCGTCTGGAATGCTAGTGTGTATTTTTCTATACTCTGTATCACAGCGAGCAACAATAGTGCATCTTGGAAATGAATATTCCCTCAGAAGGATGCACCAGTGCTCGCTGTCGTAAAAAATCTGGCAACTGAGTTGACATGTCTAGACGACCATTTTTGATAAAGTCAGTAACACATGCCATCAGTGAACGTCAAATGAATTAGCTGCATGAAAAGCATGGTTCAGGATATTAACATTCCTGTAACTCCGCTTGTTACAAATATGTCTGAATTAGTGTGCTTTCAACTTGCACCTCTTTGGCTGAAATATTCCAAAAAGCCATATCAGTAACGTCGGCTTTCTGTTAAAGTAGGTAAATGGTTTAATGCATACATACTAGTATGTCTTGCGCTGTGAATGTCTAGGAAAAGCAGCTTGCTAACCCTTCACCTAACATTAGTTTTCTAGTAGTACTTGGCCGGTGAATATTGTTAATGTTAGACAATTATGATGCAGGTCCAAAATTGCATTCTTTTTGAGAATACAAAAAAAAAACAACTTTTCATAATTATATGAGCTGTCTTTGCTGTTTTGATCTGAAGTATGAAAACTTCATTATTTAACTTTTTCTAATGTCGTAACTTCTGTATGAACGATATTGGTGTCGCTTGTTGGGTCAGACAGATACAAGACAGCGCCATGTTGACTACGACCCCGACCAACCTCCGTGCTCTCAGGGCGGCCTTCTGTAAAGGTTATGGCCCTACAGGTTTAAGGTCAGAACCAGAGGTTACACGAACTCTTCAAGGTTCCGACCCTGGCAGTTTCTTTTCGAGTTTCTGCAGGATCTACGACCCAACTTTCTATGTAAATTATCAACCTAGTACCATCCTACGAAGACGAAATGTTACTGAATTCCAATCAGCTTAATAAGCCGGAAATTTCTGCTCACTTCAACCCTTGATGAAGGTTCACCAGCATGGTCGGTCATGGCCACTTGAAATTACTTTGAACTTTAAGCACACTTTACGGGCCTGATCTGGTGCGTAAACATTAATCACTTTCCAAAAACCTGTCTTTTCATGCAGCGAATTCGGTGATGCCTCATATTAAGAGGCAACTAGTCGTATTAAGAGTCTGATTGTCAACAAAATGTCATTCGTCATTGGAACTTCAAAAGCTGCTGGCTGAGCATCTGGGCCTTACCTTTGGTATTTGCCAATTTGGTGTGTCACAATTCAGTTCTCAAAACACATTTCAATATATGTGTTCAATGAATCAGCAAAATGTCTTGCCTAAGGTGTATCTTCAGTTATTAAAGTTTATGTCGTATTGTACTTTGAGCTGAGTTTCAATTTTGAGGCCCAAATATTCAGCCGTGTGCATGTTGTTACAATATCTAAAAGAGAAACGCACCCATTGGTACCCCGCGGGCAATTGCAACACCATCTGGAACGTCTCCTGGAATAGAGTAAAAACCACACGGTCACACTCTTTAAAAACTTACTGTACATATCAACAATGTTTTTACTTCTTCGCACGCTGTATATCACAGAATATGGGTTTTATTGCGCTTTTAAAACTGGAATTAACGACGTATACTCCAATTTCCTTGGAAATGGCTTCTTCGGTTTTATATTACGAGGTTTCGTGTGCTTTTACGTTATTTTGCAATCTCTGTACCGTAACTTTCAGGAATGGTAGTAACACTCCTTAAAAACATACTGTACATGTCAACTACATTCCTACTTCTTAGCACGTTGTACATTCTTCAAGGGAAACAAGTCAAGTCAAGTCAATCTTTATTGCACAACAATTGTAACAGGTACAATGCATGGCAAACTCTTCAGTACTACATATCTAGCACGTAAGTAAGCCTGAAGTTAACATTGCGTAATCCCCACTCCTTGGAAAATGCTTCTTTGATACTTTCAATTCATCTTAAATCAATTTTAACCGGCCATATTCTTATCTATCAGGAATGGTATCCGTAACTTCTAGGAATGGTATTGGTAACTTCCAAGAATGAAATCCGTAACTTCCGGAATGGTATTGGTAACTTCTAGGAAAGACATCCGTAACTTCCGGAATGGTATCAATAACTTCCGGGAATAATAGGGGAACACTTACTGAGAACCGACTGAAGCTGGGTGGCGCAGTTTCTTCACCAGAACGCGGATGATGTTGACGAATAGGAGGAAGTTTATCTGCGGAGGAACACAAGGCGTTGTGTGATGTTAGTAAACGGATATCTTGGCCAGTATCTCTGCAATGATTCAAGATATGAAAACTCAACTGAAGAAAAAAAGTAGCTATATAAGTTCTAATACTTAACGTCAGATACTTAAATTCTCCCCTAGCCATTGTCCAAAAGCTATCCTTCTTGGAGATTTTTTTAAAAGACGCAAGTACATGACAGATATATAAGTATAGCATTTAATCAATTGTGAAGAAATTTTTATCAAAAATGAAATTTTGTCTACTTTTCCCATTATAGACGAGAAGAAGAAGACAGTTTTAAGAACCATAGCACTATCTGTATCTTTGGGCGATACAGATATTGGTGGGGAAGCTTAAAAGTGCCTGAAGACAAATTTAAAACCCTGGAGTGGGAACATGGAGTTGCAATTCATCACAAACTGCCATGCGAGTTTTGTTTAATGACTCCCAAAAGGAAATGAAAGGAAGTGGATTTCCGCTGCCAATCTCTCCGAGGACATTCCTTCGTATTACAATCGTGCTCTTCTGTCTTGGACAGGGTCCAACTCATCAACTTTACTGCTGTCTACCTTACTAATGGAAGCTGGATGGTATTGGGGGGGATAAATGTACGTTGGAGATGTCCCATTGACATACAATATTCAAAACCAGAGCTTGGTACAGCTGATAAAGCTCCTTTTACTGCATGCCTTTATTGCTTGTTCTATCGTGATGATACATGCAATGGTTGTCAAATGTAAGAAACAAGTGCATCAATCAGAATAGAGATCCGTTAAAGGGAAGAAGTGGCCACATATATATATCCACGTGAAGGCCATTATGTCCGTTTTTTAACAGATGACCTTAGCAAAAACGCAACAGGCACAAACCTCCCACAGTCACGCCAAAAAGCAGTTACTCAAGCAACTGGATATGATTTTGGAAACGGCCAGACGTTTCAGCCAGTATCCCACAGTTACTAGTCTGTTTGAATTTCCGAGTTTTTTGTTACATATTAGTCTAGAGTGCACCTGAACGATAGATTATCTAAGTTTGTCAAGGGTCTGTGACAGCAATTCATTTCATTTTATTTATTTTACCAGTGGATCATACTCAGGTCTGTGGCCTGTTTTTTTTAAATTTATTTCTCCTTGGGTACTTCAATTGCTTGTGTATGGATTAGAGTCTAGTCCAATCACCAGAGGTTTACATTTCTAGCTCTTCCTAGTAATAAAACATCTGTGTAGATACAGCGAGGGAGGGACGTAATCACACAAAAGGCAATTATTCCTTACCCCAATGGTGGCGACGATGAATGACTTGTAGATCCAGATGTAGCCTTGTTCATCCACGTTGTCCCAACATCTAGATGAACAGAATGGAATACAAATCGTTATACAGGACTCGAAATTCATTTTTCAGAATAGGTGCACTGGTGCACCCAATTGCAACCTAAACAAATTGGGTGCACAGAAAATATTTTGGGTACACCATATAAGATAAAATAAGAATGTCAGCAAAAACTGATTATGTTTTATTTCTTAAGAAAGTGTTATAACAATGATTTTATTATTTTTCTAACACTTAGATGTTAGGAATATGCTTTATACTACAACACATTTAACATCATTCGTAAACCTACGAAAATATTTGGGTGCACATGAAATAATTGGGTGCACAGTTCCAAATTTGGGTGCACTAAGGTGCACATGCACCCAGTATTTCGAGCCCTGTTATATCTGCTTACTGAAGGAGCTATATCTTGCAAATAATAGAGACAGTCCGCGCACATCTAACATTCGTACATGCAGTGTCAAAACTTTAGAAAGAAAACAGTAAACATAGTTTTACCTTTCATCTGCAAGTTTGGCGCGAACGACGGCCCATGGAATGACAAATAGCACGGGGAAACCTATCAAATAGAATATCAAATAGGAGACAAAATGCTTTTGAGTATCAAGTTGATCAAACATGGAGTATTGCTGAACTACGCAATAGTGAACATGTAATTTATATCATCTGGATACAGCATGTATAAACGCAGTTATTCTTTTATAGTTATGTTCCCTAAAGCTCTTATATGATAAATGTTTAAGCGATTTTATCTCTTTATTACATTTCAGAAGTACTTCCATGTCAAGCTACATGCCCCAATGAAGGAGGTATTGATACTGATATCAGCGTGAACAGCAGTAAATATGACACAGGTTGTAAAGTCTACACGTTTGTATCAACGTTGAATCAAATCTGAATCAATAGAACAAGTTGTACGGCCAAGCTTTGGAATTCCCTACCTGACAAGTATTTCCCACCAACCTACAATCTACAGGCTTTCAAATCAAACGTTCACCGCCATCTCTTGACATAGCCATGTTTCTCTCATATTTGTAGTTCAATGCCGAGAAGTGGTCGTATAGGCCCTGCATTGAACCACTCCGTTAAAAAAAGTTGTGAACTCACCCCATCCGATGGCGACGAACCACTTGAGAACCTTTCTCTCGGTAAAGACTGAGAAAAAGATGAGATTGTGGAGGTACAGCCCCTCCACCAGGATCCAGAAGTAGTTGGTGGCCATGAAGTACATGAAAATCGTCTGTACGACCTTACAACCAGGCTGTATGATAAAGAATATAAAATAAAACACTAAATTAAACATATATATAATGTATATACACATGAAACATAGATATAGTAGGGGCATTGTCATTAGATAGTTTTAAACAAAGTCTAGAGCTGGAAGTTCAAGGGGTAGGTGTAACAAGTCGATCGGTGTAATATAGCCAGTTGCCGCCGCGGCGCGTGCCTGAGAAGCTGGTGTGTTACGCCGAAAGGCGGTTATACCGGCTATACAGATACAGATACAGATATAAAACCATGTTTTGAGCTATCCATTAAGGAGCTAGTGGCTTTTCACACAATAACTTGGTAATTAGATAGCTAGAACTAGACTTGAGAAGTCACGACACTGATGAGCATCAACGCAAAAATTGTAAACAGAATCATCATTGAAATCTTCCATTTTGTGTGCTGTGCTTTTCCCGATGAGTTGGTTTTCTTTATGTCAGTGGATCATCTTGCCTTAATCATAGTTTATATGCAAGCTTATGAAAACATGTACTTACAAAGTTTTATACCTACGCATTTCAAAGAATTCCCACTCGTAATTTACCATGTTCAAAGCTTTGCGTGTAATAGGTTGTAATTTGCGACAATCTTCTGCACTCCAGTTAGCTGTGCTTTAAGCACCGGAAAAGTCCAATCGGCAACCACAAATGGAGATGGATTATTTTACTTTGTAAATGAGGCACAGTGATGAATTATGTAATTTAAATGCATGTTTTTTTCCTAATCATTGAAGATAAGTATTTATCTTTCTGCGGCTGTATAATATATTATATTTCCCAAAGTCAGGTTATGTGGGGTCATGTGGCGTAACTACAGAGAGTTCGGTTCGGAACCAACAGGTCCAGGGTTCGAGTCCTGACATGCCACCGATCTTGTGCCCTTGGGAAAGGTACTTTACACGACTTTCCTCATTTAACTAAGTGGAAATGAGTATTATCCCGCCCTGTATTCGTCCTCTGCGTTGGTGGCATAAAAGAAGTTGAAAAAACTTGCAATTGATTGTGCCGTTACCATGAATTGTTGGAATAAAAGTCCCACCATCCCATACCTTCGCCAAATGATGTTAACCCTTCCGGTTGACGAATTATACAATCTTAATAATTGATTTTAAGAGCCGCATTTGCATGGATTATTTCCAAAATCTAATCATTTCTAGGTCTCATCAAGACTTACCCACCTACCAAGTTTCATGACACTTCATATAAAATGAAAGCTTCTTGAGTTATGCTGTTCACAAAAAAACAAGGTAAAAGGTAAAGGTAAAAAGTTAAGATGCATGTTTACCGTGCTTCTTGTTCCGCCCTCAGAGTACAGCGCCTTGTCTCGCACCAGCACAAACGTGGCTCTCAGCATGAAGGACACAAACAGGTGCATGTGGACATAGTTCCTGGTGCAGTGTAATCTCCTGCAAGAGAAATCGACATTTTTTTTCTTTGAAGAATAAATTAATCGTAATATTTTACAGTTGAGCTTTCATGGCAGTATTGTTTGTAGTATGTGTTTGTTTCTTTGTGTTTTTTTGTGTGTGTATGTATGTGTGTGTGTGTGTGTGTGTGTGTTTCTGTGTGTGTGTGTGTGTGTGTGTTTCTCTCTGTGTGTATGTTTCTGTGTGTGTGTGTGTGTGTGTGTTTCTCTGTGTGTGTTTCTCTCCATGTGTGTGTATCTGTGTGTTTCTGTTTGTGCGTGTGTGTGTGTGTGTGTGTGTTTCTCTCTCTCTCTGTGTATGTGTGTGTGTGTGTGTTTCCCCGTAGGCCTCAAGTCAGGTTGTAATATACATGTATCTGGTTGGGCTGCCTATCCCAGTGGGGGAAATGTATTTATCACGTGCATAAGACTGGTAGTGCCCATAGCTTGCTGTTTTCATAGGTGTTTTTCGTGAGATGGCCCCCTTGATAGCCGACGCAGTGACCACCACAAAAATATCTAAATATTTCATGGAGGTCTGAAATCTACGAACTCTTGTTTGTTACAGCATTACGTTTAGCGGTGCAGGAGGAGACTGGCCAAAGCTATAGTAAAGCCACATAGCCTTCAATGCTTTCACGGTAACAACAGTGGAGACATAAAAAACGTTAGTTTTATATACATGTAGCTGCGGGTCGGCAACCGATAGAGAAAAAACACTAGACGACAGAGCAGAGTCAGAACTGAACACGAAAGAAAATTAGTGATTTATCTATAGTCAGCACTGAACAGGGAGGAAAATTGGCAGCCGTCGTTTCCTTTACTTATGTTTTGGTTATGCTGAAGTCGAGCTAGAAATGTTGGACTTCAAACCATCTCGAAGTTGTGTTAAGTGCGGAGAAGTGTTTTCCGAAGTGGCCCGCAATCAAAGAGCTTCCTTTTGACGTCCTTTCCACGCACAGTAGGACTTATATATACAGGATCAAATGGTAAAAACATAATTGGGCACACTTGGAGAAAAAAAAACTGCATAAAACACGTTGCGAAGGGAGCACAGATCTGTTTGGTTAACATCAATAGCCAAGGTTGGCCTTGATCCAGTGATGTTTCAACCTCGTTATTTTCGGTGACGCAAATATCGTGGTGGTTGAAGAATACCTAATAAGGGTGGAGCGTGTTTTGGTTTGAAGAAGAGCTTAGGTCACACCGCCTTAATTTTATGGATGACATCCTCTGAAGACCCCCAAACTAGTGCGCGCGGGCGAATAAAAAAAAGTTCTGGCCGCAAATGAAAATGTTATTAAATCACAGGAATACAAAGCTGGTATTGTGAATTTGCGGCAGTACATAGCGACGTATACCACAAGCCGGTACATGCTGGCTTTTTGTGGAATTTATGAATCGGCACTGTACGTATGTACTGAGTTCTTGAGTCGTGCAGCTTCGGTAGCCTGGGTGCCATTCTCCAGAGTTACCACAGGCTCCGTGTTGTCGCTAACTACCATGGACTACCCAGGCAGGCCTAGAGCCAGGCCAGTACCTTAGAGGACGTGATCTTTTTTTTTTGGTGGACAGGCGAAAATCAATGCGCGTGGATGTCATCCATAAAATGAAGTCGGCGTGGCCTTAAGTTGGCGCGGCGCCAGAGTTGGCCTTGAAGGTTCTTACATCCTCTTGCTCGGGTTTAACCTCTAGACCCACGCGAGGTTTCCCCAATACTTATTAAATGCTCCGGAACATGCTCTAATTCACCGTTCACACAGAGGGTGTATCGGACTTAGATACGGCTCAGAACACCGACTAACAAGTAAGACGTGAATTGCAGATGTGTTTTTGCCAAGTGATAGACCCTAAGGCCGACTTAGTGTTATGGATGAAATCCACTGAAGACCCTCAAACGCGGGCAAAAAAAAATTCCGGTTAAAAATAAAAATGCTCCTAAACTACAGGAATACAAAGCTGGTACTGTGAATTTGAGCTAGGCCAGAACTTAGGAGGACGTGATCTTTTTTTTCTAGAACAGGCGAAAATCAATGCGCGCGCGGATGTCATCCAGAAAATTAAGTCGGTGTGGCCTAAACTAAAACTAGTAAAGTAAGGTTTTGTTTGCATCTCTTGCAATCAGCTTTCAAAACTTCTATTATTTAAATCCATCAGAGGTAGAAGTTTTCAGTCAGGATGAGTTTGAATCCCTACAATACTAGCTTTGCATAACGTTTGATCATTACCACCCTTCGCCTGGAACATAAGATAAATGACAGTCACGAAGAAGATGACAGTTTGTCATAGCTTTCATCTCAACTGTTCCCAGATGAGCTGGAATATCGATGACTTGAGTCCTACCTACAGAAGTTGTTATTCCACAGACGGACGGGGAATTTGATTTATATCTTCCCCGGAGGAAGACGATTCTTCAGCGGATAAAACAATATCCTTTCATCTTTCATAAAGCCTGAATGTAACAGGAGAAAGCTGTGCTATTGATAGCGTTGTGTTGCATGTATATATATAGATATGTAGAGTTAGGTTCTACATCCAGGTAATAATACAATGCACCAAAATAGCAACTGGATATAATTTGATTTCCAAAATCATATCCAGTCGCTTGAGTAACTGCTTTTGGTTTACATATATAGATGTTGGCATGAAAGTTCATCTGAGTTGGTAAATTACATTATACTACATTAAAATAATAATAATAATATATAGATGTTGATAAGCAGCGAAAAAGACAATCTCCTAACAAAGACGGGGGGCGATATAGACTTCTTTGGACTCTTGCCCAATTACTGGCGTCACGTGTACACAGGGAAACATGATCTCGATGGTTGGTGATTTGAATTCTGAAGAATATTGCACCAGGACAGTTGAAAGTCGAAAAGTTCATACCCTCACGTAAAGTCTTGGAACATGGCTTTTAGCCACATACTACGTTCATCAACTTCCATCAAAATTTACCTATTATGCTAATTCAGAGAAGATCGGTTGTACTCACTTAAAGTAGATGAGGATGATCAGAGCTATCGTGAGGGAGGCCAGTGATACGGAGTAGCCAACAGTGTACATGGTAACGACGTCTTCTATGTTGAAGTCCTATGGCAGCAACAGGAAAATCAGCATTTTGACCCAAGAAAAGCAACAGTACCCAGTCTTTGTCTTTGACTATGTCTATATGGCCACTATGATGTTTCTATCACTATTATTGCCATTATCATTATTTATTGTATCCCTATTTTACTGTTTGTATGTGACGGTTGTGTTTTATTGTGTAAAACAGGGCCCCATTGAAAAGAAGTCTAATCACTTAATGGGCCACCCTGTATAAAGATACCGGTAAAATAAATAAGTCACCGTGTCGTCGGTCTTCCAGCAGGCCGTATAGTTGACAAACGTCTTGTTGGACACTTCATTCAACTTCCACAGACCGGTTTCCTCACAAACTCGGATCGCCTTTGCTGAAAGGACAGAGAAAACATAGCTTTAGTTTGCATTGATACATTGTATGTGGTTTCTGTGTTGTAGCTATTTCGCCCCAAGCTATCATCTTCGCAATGTTTCCTGTTACCAATGGTGATACATGTGTTTGGCTCACCTGTGTTTCTGTTTGTCTATGTCTGTCACTTTGGTAGCCGTGTAGTAGGAATTTCCCACAAATGCAATTTCCTACTTGTTACCGGCGCTGCTACTTGTGTTAGTCTCACTTGTGACTTCTCGTTACTGTTTCTATATCTGTTACTTCGGTTGCCGTGCTGTAGGTATTTTTCGTAAAGCGATCATCTTTCCAATTCTTCCTTGTTACCGGTGCTGCTACCTGTGTTTAGCTCACCTGTTTTTCTCTATTTGTTACTTTGGTTGCTGTGCAGTAGGAATTTCCCACAAATGCAATTTTGTACTTGTTACCGGTGCTGCTATATGTGTCAGGCTCGTTTGTTGGATCTAAAGTGTTAACTATAAACAGGTATTCATTGTAGTTGTATCTGAATGTGTGATCTTTTCTGCATAAGACCGATCAGTCTAGCTGAGCTTAATTCTTGGGTTCTTATCATGTAGTCAAGATATCTCTGCATCCTAACGTTTGGGCCTTGGCCCAGTTGGGTGCATTGACTTGCACAATGTGATGTGCACGGGCCAAGGAAAAAGTATTAGCCTACGTACAAAAATATAGACCGTCACGGTCCATTATACGTACCCAGGCGTACAGTAACTCTGGGTTATGCTAAAGAATGTATTGAGAAGTGTTCCTCATTTAAATCCGTGCCACTTTCCCCATGAGCGCACAAGTTAAACTCGTGGGCCGATAACCTCGCCAATTTCATTGCTCAAATGTAATAGCTAAAATCCATGCGTTCTGGGCATAAGTCGCTGTAATAAACTGTTACCGTAGGGGAGAATATTAAAAGGGCTTACAAGGGATTTGGTCATGATTTTCCGGTCTAGACATGGATAGCGTTAACGCTTTACTTACTGTGATATGATATCTGGTACTTCTCCAACAATGACTAATAAATTGGTGGCCGTCCCAAATACTAAGTACCTAATAGTAGCCCAGAAGAGAACAAGAAATAGCCATGCCTTCAAGTACCAGAGTTATCAACCAAGAATCGAGGTGTTCAAGAATTCATTCTGTCCTAGAACTATCGCAGAGTGGAACTAACTGTCACCAAGTACATTAGGGACACTGTCATTAGATAGCTTTAAACAATGTCTAGAGTTAGGTGTTCAAGGGTTAGGTGTGACAAGTCGATCGATGTAGCCAGCTGCCGCCGCGCCGCGTGCCTGCGAAGCTGGTGTGTTAGGCCGAAGGGCGGTTATACCGGCTATACAGATACAGATACAGAGTATGGTGCATAATTTACAAGGACACGGCTTATGGATGGTCTTTCCTTGGGCGTAAAAGTTTCCCTGGTTTACCGTTGAAGATCTGCCAGACACCTTTTAAACTGTGTTGCCGATAGAATAATTCTCACTGGCGAAAAGGCTTAGTGAATTTTGCTGACTGACATAACCTAAGGCATAGGTCTTAGGTCGTAACTGTCTCTTGGCAAGGTGATTTTATGCTGTTATCATACTCAAGTTCTTCCATTACACATATTTCTCGTGTCAATGGACACAATCCACCAAATCCAATCCCGTTACGATTGAATGACTTTGCTTTGCGATGTATTGGCGCTGTGCTTTAATCTGCTATGATAGGGCGAAGGTTAAGTTCTTTTGCGAAGAAGCGCTAGAGATAAGTATTTTCGTGGAAGTGTTGGCATAAAGTATGAGATCTCGAGACTCAGTTGGCAGTAGCAAATAGGCTATCTCTACATCAAATACTTCAACTAGAACTTATTGATTTAGTAATCATCTATGTTTTATGCTATATTTTTTTCTGAACTATGTGCCATACATTGAACTATGTACAATTGTCGTGCAATTAAGTTCTTCTTCTCACGTCTAGGCATTATATCATAGCATTTGATGTGTCTGTTATTTCTTGGTTTGATTGAATAAGTGTTACATGTACGTTAATAATAAGTTGTCCTGTGTTTATAGATTCTGTACACTTGTTGAGTCCTTGAACGGTGTTTGATAGCTATAGGTGAATACGAATTTCAAGACAGAAAGACATTTTGTGGTGCTAGACACGAATTGAGTCAGGGTAATGACAAGGCAGTACTGTACGTTTCATCGGGTTTATAGAGTAATAGCAAGGTGCTTTTGACCGGGATCATCTCCAGTCCTCACTGAATACTTTGCCCTTGATCTTGGACCATTCCAAGGTCTAACTGTCACGAAACTTTACGAGAAGTGTGTCTAAGTGCTTTTTGAGTGTTTTCCAAAGACGTTATTTTTATCGCCGCCAATCTTTAATTCATAGCCTTCCAGGAATCGCGGACGTTTTTGGAAAGATGCGTCCTTGTCGACGTGATGATGAACTGTCCCAACCTGTTTTTTGTGAAGTATTGTATGACTTCAACTTCAAATCAACTTTCAGATGACGTTATTTTTATCGCCGCCAATCTTTAATTCATAGCCTTCTGAGAATGGCGGATGTTTTTGAAAGATGCGTTCTAGTCGGTTGAGAAGTTAGTACCTCCCTCGCGGGTCATGTAAAGTGGATTAGCCATCTGAAACTGCCCCACCGCATGTGTAGCTAGCCTCCGTAGCAGGCTTATAGAACTGGGGGTTTGGTGGTCTTCGGCTGTTTTCTGATTAGCCTCTGTAGCAGGCTTATAGAACTGGGGGTTTGGTGGTCTTTGGCTGTATTCTGATTAGCCCAGTTCTAAAACGGGGGTAGTTCAACCAGGCCGGCTATGTTGTCTATATGCAATCATGAAATAGCACATAAAAGCTCCCAAAGACCACGAAGACCCCCAAACCCCCGGTTTTTGGCATGCATGCTATGGAGGCTACTGTGTAGACATTATCGTAATTGGGGACCACCATGTGTTGTAACTCACTCGAGGGAGAGATCTCGTCTTCTCCGTAAACTTAGGTTTAATGTAGCCTCCATAGCATGCCAAAGACTGTGTGTGTGTG